GCACAAATATAATCAACATGACTTTGGATTTTGGTAGCCTCTTTTAAGTTCAAAATGTCACAGTAAACAATTACCTTCAGGAGCTAAACGATTTAACATAATTTCAACAATGAAACAACCACAGTAACTAAAACGATTTAAAATGCCCTAAACATGTTAAACAATTAAACAAACGGGACTGCTCATGATCTGATTTTAGGGTAACTAAACGTTTCAAAGCAGTTAAACCTGATGAGACACACACTCATTCTAGAGTTTATTTCCAGAACCACCTCTAAACATGATTCCAATTTAACATCCATAATGACATGATAGCAGATTTAAAAATGAAATTAAGCTATACTGAAACTAAAATTGCTAGATAGAGTCTCATAGTATCAGTTCAAACAGTCCAGTTACAATCAGTCCAAACAGTCCTATTAATACAAATACTGCATTATCCAAATAACTCAACTATGCTAAGCATCTAAACTAAGTAAAACAGTAGGAAACATTATGAGAAAGAATAGATGATAATTCATCATTTATTTTTCAAATTTAGTCACACATGTTGATCCAGTCTTCACATAGCATTTGAGGCCACAGGAATACCTGGAATTTGAATAGAAAATAAGAAAATGAAGGTCAGCGAGGCAGCAACAATGCAACAATGTTCAATTTCAGCAGGAAACCAACAATTCCAAATCAAAACCCAGGAAATAAGGACAGGATGCAGTAGCCTTCCAAAACAGACTTCAACCAACCCAAAACTCAGCTGAAACTTAGGACTAAATTTTGATGATTCAAAATGACCTTCAACAGGTGAATTCCTACTAATTTCAGAGCTTAGAAATGAATTTCAGCTGCTGAAACTGGACGAAACAGTGGATTTTTTTTGATTTCTAGGCTATTTTTTTTTTGTTGAATTTTTTGGAGTTTTCTCTTTAGGATCTAATGTTTATGTATCTCTCTACTTCTACAGAAATTTGTTTTGAATTTCAGTAGCTTTGAATTTGAATTTTAAATTTTTAGATTTGGGATCTCTAAACTTCTGAAACTTGTGAAACAAGGCAAGGGGTATGCCTTTTTATAGGCAAAGCCTAGGGCAACCTTCAGATTTTCATTTACACCCTAGGTCCCTCTTTTAATTTCAGATTTTAACTAGTTAGTCCTTTACTTATTGGCTTGTTGGTCAAGTTATACTACCAAGTTCCTAAATTTCAAATTAGAACCCCATCTAGAAGGTTCTAGGGGGTTCTATTTTAGTTACTGCACTATTCTTTCATTGAACTACCTATATTACCCTTGAATTATTTCTGAAATTACTAAACTATGTTTACTAACCCCCAGCCTTGTTAACTTAGTCAAAACTGATCATAGTTAGTCAATCAAGAGCTGGGAATATTCAGCTATACCCAAACAATTCCTAAAAATAATAGAAAATCTAACAATTGAACTAATCAATCAAAACGGGAAAAAGAACTCTAATTAACACTAATGTCCTAAGGCTAATTTTATTATTGAACTAATGAAACAATAAATGAACAAATCAACAATTCAAAATGAAGCTATACTGTAACAACAGAAAAATGAATAAAATCTAAAGAAAAATCAACAGCAAACATGGAATCATTCGAGAACAAATTTAAAACTAATAACCCTAAAAGAAAACCTAAAAAAAAATCA